AAAAAAAAAAAAAGAAAATGCCCCTTCTCTTATGTTAGTACTCTTTCTCAGTTAAGGACCATTCTCTTTCAATTGTGTTTAAAAGCTCTTCTTCTACCTGGTTTTGAGAAGTCAAGGAAAGCACAGGCTGACATCAGATTAGAAGAAATTAGGAGGAATAAAATTAAGCTGCAGCTCAAGATTTTTCCAAACATATTGGCTTTTCTTTTTAAATTGCCATATAGATTGCTGCACTTTATTAATTTTTTAAATGAATTTTTTATTATATACTTGTTTACTTAAAAGTGCATGCACATTGTTTTTCACACACTGGATCTTTCCCATTTCCTTTACCCACCCCTCAACATCTTGACTTCTGTGGAGTAAGAATAATAAATTATGATTTGATCCTCCCCTTGGTTGAAAAAAATAAAGGTAATGGAGTTGCCCAGTACAATACGTCTTCTGATTTCCTGACATTTGGAACCAAGGATGTTGATGCAAGGAAGACAAAACCATTGACAACTTTAAACCTTTCTCCACTTACTGTAATGTTGACTGTTGGTCCTGTGGTGAGGACCTTTGTTTTCTAGATGTTGAGATGTAATCCATACTGAAGGCTGTAGTCTGTGATGTTTTGCTGCAAAACGCTAAAGAACAGTGATGTCAGTTTAAAGATGAAGGTGCACCTGATTCAGGCCATGGTTTTCTCAATCACCTGCTATACATCAGGACAAAGAATAAAGAGGACAGAACTTTGAGTTGTGGTCCTGGAAAAGAGTACTGAATATCCCATGGACTGCCAAAGAACAAACAGATATGCCTTGGAAAAGGTGCAGTCAGAGGACTCCTTGGAAACCAGGATGGTGAAGCTTCATCTCACATACTTTGGGCAAATAGCTAGGAGAGAGGCTATTCCTTGGAAAGGGACATCTTGCTTGGAAAGATGGAGGGTCAGCAAAAGAGAGGAAGAACCCCAACGAGATGGATTGACACGATGACTTCAGCAATGGGCTCTAGTATGTCAGAGATGATTAGGATGACAAAGGATAGGGCAGGGTTCAGGATTGCTGTTCATAGAGTCACTATAAGTGGTACTCAACAACATCTAACAACAACAAGTGAAGGCAAACACTATTATCATTTACTCCTTTACAAAATTCCCAAGAAGTTAATTCTGTATTAATAGTGCAATTTCTCAAAATACCTGTTTAGTAAAGTTAAGCAACACACTTCATATTTGAGTTCAACTGATATTTATTGACACCAATATAAAAACAAGCTGAAAGTTAACTAGCAGGAACAAATATTGGTAGCATTTCCCTCTGGAGACTTGGAGAACATACGTACTCAAATCATGAGACCTAAGATAAAACAAAGACTTGGATTGTCAAGAATCAAACAAGAGCTTGATTTTTATCTATTAATATTGAAAAATGCTAAAGGCAAACTGAGATGTTTACAAATATTCTTTGTGCTAAGCGTATGTAAACAATCAAAACACTCAAACTAATTTCTAACATTTGAGGACGTACAGACATGACTATTTTAATTTACGCATCAGCAACAACGTGTTACATCCGTCACCGTACTTGTACTACACTTACATGCTTGTTGCTCCTACACTACACAAATTCAACAGTTATCACCGACTATACACCATAACTAAATCTGAACAAGACTTCAAACTGACTGACTCTGTTCCACTCAAATTCAGGAAATTAAACTCATGATTGACAGAACCATTTCATGTGAGATCCAGCTCTCCTATTTGCTCTCCTGCCAGACACAATTCAGTCCTCACTTGGCACTTTTTAGCCTGCAAGTGGCAAATGCATGCCACCTTTTTCATCTTCTCCAACACTTTAAAATGAATTTGTAGAAATGACATAAACAATTAAATTGTACTTCAGATTCTGAACCTGCAATCTGATCCTTGCGTTGCCTCAAAACATAACTGCTCTTCAGTGGACCCCACCAGCACAGCGTCCCCCTTCCTCTCTAGTCCTTTGCCCTGAAGGCACTTCTGGATTGCTTTAATTCGTGCTCTTTGGCTGCCGGGACAGTCAGGACACCTAAGGCCATTTGGATTTATCACTCCTCTCCCCCTTCTTTTCTATGACTAATAGCACTTTCCTGCTTTTTTTCTATGGGTGAGTCTGCAGACTTGGTGCTGTCATCAGGGGGACAGAGTCGATTTCGGCTTCGAGCTCCTGGTTGGTAAAGCTGCATTGCTGGACGGTCCTAAAGTAAAATGAAATGTGTTAATGTCACAACAGTATTATTAGGTTTTTCACACTTTTGTATTACTACATACCCAAACCAACTCATCCAAGACAAAAACGTGATGGCGTGGTACCTGGCAGTAAGTGTTCATGTTATATTGGCTTATTAATGGTTTGCCTCCTTTTCCTTATAGCCAAAGAAAGGGAACCATGACATCAGTTCTATTTGATATGCTTAGAGTAAATGAAAGTAAATTTTTGAGTACTCTATTGCCTACTCTTTTTTTCTTTATTGCCTACTTTCTTTCTGTTGGCTACTTTTGTTAATTGATTTTGGGGTGAACATTGCTTTAAGTCATATAGAAGAGGTCTATTTGCTCTACTGAAGTAACTAGGAGTTGCTGTGATGATGGACAACTGGGCCATAGGTGTGTCAAACACCATAATTAGCTACCCATCATGGGCAGTGTTTGGTGTAGCTTCCAGATTGATTCAGGTTTAGAAGCAGAAGTGGCATCCACTTCCTAAACCACATGCATCTGGAAACTGTGAACTTGGAGAAACGACGATAGCTTCAGGTCTTTTGATTTTTACACACACACACACACACACACACACACACACACGGCAATAAAGAAAAAGAAAAGTTGTCAAGAGAGTGTGCCATTTTCTTTTTTTCAATATTACTTCAAAGGTGATACAAATGAAATCTTTGTCAGGAAATAGACCAGTTAAAGTTAAAGGATTGCCACTGTATTGGTCAGCTTTTATAAACCAAGGGAGTTCTTGTGGCCCCGTGGTAAAGTTAAAGATTACTTTTAATAAAATAATTCCAGCAAAACTTTTCATCTTTTCAAAAGATTAAACATAAAACAGATGAAAATCTTGTACAGTGATTTAAAGAATTAGTGTCCAAAGATGGGACAATTTGAACATTAACAATAATAACTCTAACAACATGAACATATCAGATACTTTTAAATCCATGAGCTCTTAAAGACTAAACAAAAAACAAAATGAACTGTTTGAAAGGAATATATGATTAATTGTTATATGTATGACAACAATCTGGAGGAGGGAGGAGAGGAGAAGGGAAGAAAATGTGCAGCAATGAATGAATAAAAACCCCAACCTTTTTGTAAACGTCCATTAAAATAACAATTTATATATATACACACATACACACACACACACACACACACACACACCACTCACTGATAACCCCAAGACATTGCTAGAACCAATTCATAACTCTGAACACTGGTTATTAAAGAGTAAGAATCAAATGTTTTGAAGGTCAGAATGAAGGAACCATTTCGGTAGCTGAAGGCAAAATACTGTTATAGAGGAAGACAAAGGTGACAGGTGGACACGCATTCAGGGGTGCTTAGACTTATATTTAATACTGATTTTAAAAACCCTTAAAATTTTTTTTAATAGGGGAACTCCTGTGGCCCAGTGGCAGGAAGCTGCACTGCAATCCCAGAGGCACGCAGTTCAATTCCACCAGATGCTCTTCTGGAGAAGGAGGAGCAATCTCCTCCTGTACCAGTCAGATCCAATTTGACGGTACACACACACAAAACAATAAAATCTTAAAAAAAATTTTTTTTAATAGAATAAAATGTCTTTCTTGTATAAACTGTATTTCAGGCTAACTGAATATATGATGAAGAATAATTATTTTTTTATAGACTGCCATCTAGTAAATGTAGAAGAAAAACCAGAATTCTATGCCATAATTTTATAAACCCTAGTACAATAATGGCGTTGAGGACTCTCCTTCATAGGGTCGCTATGAGTCGCCTGCAACTCGATAGTACTTAACAACCACAACAACAACAACAACAGTGCAATAATGAACATAAGAAAAATCATTAGTTGAAAGGTTTATAAGAGATTAGGCTTCTATTGCCTGAACCAAGTATAATACCTCAATAGATTGTCCAACTTTTTTTTTTAAATTATTTTTTGTGTGCGTGTACCGTCAAATCAGATCTGACTGGTACAGGAGGAGATTGTCCCTCCTTCCCCGGCAGAGCATCTGGTGGATTTGAACCGTTCGCCTCTGGGATTGTAGTTGCAGCTCCTTGCCACCAGGCCACCAGAGCTCCCCATATTGTCCAACTTTTATAATAAAAAATTTATAGAGATGTTACAAAAATTATACACTCCTCAGGTTTTGCCACACTTGGCTTTTCCTCTAACACATTCATACTTACATACACACATTATCACAGAACCATATGAGAATAAGTTAGAGACATCATGACATTGTATCCCTAAAGCTAGAGACATCATGACATTGTATCCCTAAAGCTAGAGACATCATGACATTGTATCCCTAAAGCTAGAGACATCATGACATTGTATCCCTAAATATGTCAGCCCGCACTGCCTAAGAACGTGGATAATCTATTATATAACCATAATACAACTGGTATTTATCAATCCTAACATCATACCCATAAAGAAAAATCACCTAGACATGAAATACTTCCCCTACCTCCAGAAACGAATAGGCCTTTATTATGTGGTCTGAGAGAAACGCCAAGTGACCAAGTGTAGAGGTCAAAATGGCGCCACATTAAATAATTCTTAATATGTGATACAAGGGAGCTTTGGTGGCCTAGTAGTAAGGAGCTGTGGCAAGTGATTCATATCCACCAGCTGTTCCATGGGAGAAAAACAGACAGTATCCTCCTGTGCAATTAAAGAGCCTCAGAAAACTTGCTGGAGGGTCAGCTATGGGTCAGTTCCAACTCAATGGTACACAACAACAATGCAATACAGAAAGAAGTATACATTACCACCTATACTCTTGGAAAAAAAATCTGACTAGAAATATATTCAAGCCTCCAGATCAAGGGCCACTTGGCCTTGTAATTAGATTGACTGGCACACAGCCATATGCATTTACTTAAGTATTTATCTATGGGTGTGTGTGTGTGTGTGTGTGTGTGTGTGTGTGTGTGTTTTGTTACTCCCGCCATTTACCTGCGCTTCATTGAATTTCTTCACTTTGACATTCAGAGCACTAGGCAGAAATCACGTCCAGTCAACACCTGCCACAGGCCTTCGCAACTATGGGTGCTTTTGTGTGGAGTTGACTAGTCATGACAGAGGCTCACAAACTGAAAATATTTGCTATCTCAAACTTTTCAGAAACAGTTTGCAGAGCCTGCCCTAGATATGACTACCAGTTTTAAAAGAAACATAGAAGATAAAGGAAGATGCTTAACCAGAGGGTTCCTATTAGCCAAGCCAGACATGAAGCTCTACAGAACAAACCGGTTTCCATAACAAATGGCAGAAAAAGAGCATTGATTAAAAAAGTCTGGGGACATTTCAAAGAAACTCAATTTGCCTGTGAACCTTTTTTAAAACCTTTCATAAACAAGGCTGTGTTAAGATAATGGAAAACAATGCTAGAGTTATAACACTGAAAAAAACAATTTATCACAAAAATTGAATATTTGAGGAAAAAATTTATATCTAGGATTTGTCAGAATTGATCCATCGCCCACCCTCCAGGGGATTTTCAGAGGCATGTAATGGCACGGGAGGAGATTGCTTATCCTTCTGCGGAGCAGGTGGTGAATTTGAACTGCATGCCTTCAGGATTACAGTGCAGCTTCTTACAATTAGGCCACCAGAGCCTACCAGATACTTTCCTGGGAGAAAGATAGACAATCTCCTCTCGTGCAGTTTACTGCCTCTGAAAATCCTGGAGGGTCAGCCATGGGTCGATTCCAAGTCGATGGCAAACACAAGTAAAAAGGAAAATAATCAAGTAAGAGTAGGAATAAAGTAGAACCAAGGTTGGCCACGAGTTGACAATTGCTGAAATTTCTACAGTAAGTTTTAAAACAAAAAAAAATTTCAGTCAAGACTGGTGGGGGGAAGGTTTTAGACAGTTGAAAATTCCTCCAAAATTCTACAATAAACAACGAACTAAGCTTCTCTTTACTTTTGCAGGAAAAGGGAGGAAAAAAACAAATCTTCATGAAAAGAAGCAAGTTTAATGAAATACTGCACACCTTGTTTCTTATGCGATCCCTCTTAACCACTTCCTCTTTTTTTTCCAATTTTTCTGGGTTGACAAGAGATTCTGTGCTTTCAGTCTTCTTTCCTTTATCCCGAAGTGCTTCCTTCTCTTTTTTCAATTCTTCATCTTTTCTTTTAAAAGCTTTCTCTTTCTCATAGCGCTCCTTTTGCCTCCGGCGTTCATCTTCTTGCCGCTTCAGTCTCTCTCTCTCCCGAAGTATGCGTTCCTGATCTCGGTCATAATCTCTTTCCCTTTCCCTGTAGTCTCTGCAACTTTCATCTTCAGATCTGCATGAGAGTAAGAATGAACCTTCAAAGATCATGTAATTACCAATGCTGGAACAGGGTAATTCCTACTTGACCATTGCACTTTCTCAGTAGAGTAAAAAAGCTTTGTGTTAAAAAAAGCAAAAATCATTCACTCAGATTACTAGATATACTAGAATAAGTGAAATCTTCCTTTCCTGCTCAGCCCCTCTGCCCCCCACTTTGATAAAAACCAAAAATACCAAACCCATTGCTATCAAGTTGATTCTGATCTAAAATTATTGTTTTTGTGTATGGTAGAGTTGGAGCTGCCATAGCTGTCCCTGTGGTGGGTTTTCAGAGGCAGTCAGTTAATCACATGGGAGCTCTTTCTCCTGTGGAGCAACTGATAGATTTGAACCACATGCGTTGGGTTGCCAGCACCAACACCTTACCAGCAGTAGGCCACCAGAGTTCCCTGATTCATAAAGACCTGATAAAATTGTTCATCTTAATTCAGGTACAGGCTCAGGACATAGCATCAAAACTGGCATCTAGAAATGTGTCTAACTCAGGTGCACCAAAGAGTCCTCAACTACTGACCTCTTTGGCTTTTCATCTTTAGGTTCAACATCAGAACGCCTGGTCAATGTACAACTCTGCCCGCTGGCTCTTTCATCACTCAGATTCTCTTTGTCCAATTTCTTGGGCTTTTCTCTTTTATCCAATTCTTTTTCATCTCCTTTTTCTGGCTTTTTGAGAAGCTTTAAAGAGAAAAAGTGTGCTTTTGTTTTGAAGGGTCGAGCACAGCTTCTTTGACAATCAAAGAAAACAACATACTAAATATTTAAAACTTAAGACTATAAAGACCCCCTCTATATCTATAGGTGCTCTTAAACTTTAGGTGAACAATTAGTACACAAGAGTAGTAATGTTCTAAAAAGATGCTACATATTAATGTGAAAGTGTTATCCACAAAAATGAAGTGGCTTAATCACTTTGTGGCAATTGGATCAAGACTCCTTTGGGGTAAAGTATGTTGACCTTTAAGTGAACCAAAGCACCCTTCCAAGTATGTCTTCTGTGGCAAATCAGTATGTCAATAAAACATAATGGAAAAATATTCCACAAATTTAAACTGGTAGGCAGGTCATTCGTGTTGGACTATTTTTATTTAGTACTTGGAGTGACAAATACCTTGGTCACTAAAGGAGAGATCCATTGCAGAAATATTTTTGCCTTGAGCCTGAGAATAATAATAACAATTATCCTTATGATGGAACAACCATATTACCATTGGAGGTGAATAGCAAGAATATTTGGTATTTAATTTAAAAATCCAAATGTGTTATACTGCAGAATGGTGAAGTTCCATCATTGCTGAGTAAGAACTCTCAATAATTTGTTTATACATATATATATATAATATATATATACATACATAATATATATACATATGTATGTATATATACATATACATACATACACAAATTGTTTATAAAGTCCAAATTGCTAACAAGACGAGTTCTCTCTCTGAATACTTCGATAAATCTCTTAAAATACCAAGTGTTGGATATTCAGAGAGATTTTAGGCAAAACAGAAGAATTTCAAATCTCAGAGTGAAGGCAACATAGAAGTCGCCAAGCAAAAGGCAAAGCACCATATAAGACTTGGGCATTAAGCACACAGACAGCCACTACAAACGCTGAGTCTCAAATGAATACTGTTTTTTTTAGCACCGGGTATCAAAGCGAGGATACCATGTGCAGGTTTCACTGGAAGTGTTCTTATTTCTCTAATGAACATCTTTATCAAAAGCCAAGATGTTCATTACTTTAATAAGAATATTAATCAATGTGTCTAGCATGGCTGGCTCTACCTTCTGCTTTGGTAATAATTAGGGATAGCAAGTCAAGTTACTAGTGGCATGGCAGACGAAGATTGCTGAAAGGAATTAAGATGGGAACAACACCCCACCCCCCCAAAAAAACCCCTTATTACCAACAGTGGGTACCAGAGAGATTCAGGAACCCTAGCCATATAAATTGCTAAATTTTGGGGAGGTAAAACAGTAAGAAACCACCACCATCTCTCTGAGATGTCCTTTTTCTAAATTCTTTGTGAATCAATTCTCCAGTCTATGCTGGAGCAAAGGCTGCCCAAGTCATGCCCCCAGAAGGGAAGCAGAGAGGGTGAGATCTTTCTACAGGTTTTCCTTTTCTAAATTTAATGCCTACGTAACCATCTACTGCTCACCGATTCCCAGGTAGATAGAAGATAATATGGGAATCATGTGAGCAGAGAAGGCACATAATGCAGGATATTTATTACTCCCATAAGGCAGCCAGTTATGAGAGGCATATAAGACGACGAGAAAGAGCTATTTCAGCACAGTTGTCCTCTGGATCTATATTGTCAAAGCTTCTGGATACAGAGCAGAGCATGAGGAAATCACCCAGGCTTCATTTTGAAGCAGGTGTGTAAATAGCTCAGCTTTTAAGAAGATCCAAGTCAGTTGGAAGGGGTTTTCTACAGGTAACACTACCACCACCACCAAAAAGGACTTAGTAACTAAGACCTGTGTGTGTGACATGATACTAGGTGTTCAGTATCATGTACTTGGTCCTTACATTTTTCTGATTCACAGCTTGTAACAGAAACCTGTGTACCTGAAGACAGTGGAAAACAAACAGATGAGGCAACTTCATGTATCAAATATGAAGGAAAAGCTGAATACAACCCATAATTAATGCCAGCCAGCTCTAAGCCCTTATTTACTATGAATTGAGAATCCAAAAAAATAAACATTTTCCATTATAAATATAACATCTACACTGAAGAATTAATCTTTTTAAATTTTCTTAAATTTTAAAAACTACTACTTAGTATTTATTGTAGGAACATTTTATTCGTTCACTTCCCTCCCCCTCCAAAAGCAAACAAAAAGTAAATCTATATTTACACCAACACAAGATTCATGCATATTTAAAGAAGTAGATTCATGCAATTTTCAGGAGCATGCAGTCAGCTTCATTTATTTTCATACCTTAATCTTTGGTTCATCCTTTAATTTATCTCTTTCTGGTACTCTGTCTATCTTCTTTAGCTTTTCTATATCTTTCCTTTTTCGTTTTTCCTCTTCTTTCCATTTCCTTCGCTCTTCTTCTCTTTGTCTTTTTCTTTCTATTTCTCGCCTCCTTCTTTCTTCTCTCTTTTCTTCTCTCATTCTCTATAAACAAACATTAACACATGCTTTCAAAAAAGATGTGTATTGGCCTCTCTCCTCCATATTTCCTTTCAAGAAGGGAGGTCTGTCCTTTTGGGGATATAACTTTCTAATCTGCCTTTACTATTTTATGCTCAAACCAAAGGAGACTTTCATTACCAAAAACTTAACCAATCCCAAAGGTATGGTGGGCACCTATTAAACTGGATTATCTTTGCTTTCCTATTTTCTACCTATTTTACCCTACCCCACCCCATTAAGAATATCAAAGAGACTGAAGATCAGGGTCCATTGGTATCACTCTATCATTGCCTCTTTTCTACATTATCAGAGGCTTTCAGAATAATGAACACTACGGGACAAGCAAAGGCCTTTCTTTCTAGGTTTGCAGTGAATCCCTGGTACAAAACTGAAGTGAAAGACAGGGCCAGAGAATGAGATCAATGGGCCAGATTGGTACAGAATGATGGGAGAAAAGCAGCTATTTTTCTTACAGGCCCCCAAAGATCTGAAAATGTTTACAAAATATAAACCAATAAAATAAAAAGTATCAAAAGAACTATAAAAATCAAAAGGTTTACCTGCTTGTTTTTCAGGAAGCTCAAAAGTGGGGTTGTCTTTTTAGCTACATAAATGTAAAGAGATTATTAATAACACTTGTTAATCCCTCAAAAGGATTCCATTTTCTGACATTCCCTACCACCCACCCAAGGTGGGTAACTGCACTCTTAAACAGAAAATTAACAACTGTCTTACTGGAGATTTTCCTGCAATATTCCATTTCAACTCTTCAGGCTAATAAGGCTTTTAACAAAGTACAGAAATTAAAATTACTACAAAAAACAATATTTAAAGCATAATTTCCAGAGTCAGTGACAATTATGTGCAAAGGGCATTTTTTGTTGTTTTATTGGGGAATAGAAATTAATTTTATATTCTTTGGGTGAGAATAAATTAGAGGAAAGAGCTAAAATACCTACCATATTTTAAAGCAAATAACAGGTGCCTTCTGTTTGTTTGCCAACTGCTTCCTCCCCTTGCAGATATTTTTGTAAATGGTACTACCTTTTTTTTTACAAGAACATGTAAAATTTGCATATTATGCGGGGGAGGGAGCTGTTGGCAAAAAAATGTAGAAGGACAAACCCAGAAGACATTGTCCATAGCAAAAAAGTCGTTATACTCTTGAGCCTATAATTTCAATATAGGAATTTCTTCTAAGAAAATGATCAGAGATAGGCTTATTTTATACAGCAATAAAATAATTATTTAAGTGTACTTTTAAATGTTCTGAATACTACTACTTGGCCTTGTTTATAGATTTTTTTTTAACATATACTTTCCTAGGAGAAAGTCCTAGTAATGGAAATACTAGGTCAATGCTCATGGTTAGAGCTATTGTCACTGCTGTGACGAATTGCTGTACTAGAAACAATATTCAAGTTAGAATTTCTCAAGATTTTAATTTTTCATAGTCATTTTATAATTTTTTATTTCAGTTTTGAAAAAGAACTTTTAGTAATATTAATGTCTTATTACTAGAAAATAGCAATCTATCTTCAAAGGCTTACCAATATGGAAAAGTCTCATATTAGTTTTTAAAACTATTTACTTATGCAACGATTAGTGTGGTCCATCAATAGGTAACACAGAATTTCACCCCCATTAATCAATTCCCTTCATAATCCTGTGAGGTAGACAATATCATCTGCATTTTATAGCAGAATAAACAGTCTCAGAGAAGTTAGTGATTTCCCCAAGGTCATACAACTAGCCAATAATGAAAGAGAGTCAGATCCAGGTATTCCGAAGAAAAAGCCATTCCTCTTAATATCTTTTGCTCACTTACCTATTAATTCTCTATTTTTTGCTTCTATTTCCTCTAGTAGGGTCTCTGGAGTAGAAGTCATTTTCTCATTATCTGTTGCATAACTTTCCAAAAATTTTCTATATTCTGGATCTAAAAAGTCAATTAAGGAAACAAAAAATGTAGCAGACTTTGAATAAAATAGGAAATACTATCTAGGATATTTTATCTACAAAAGAAGTTCATTTTCCACTTCATTGAAGGCTGAAAAGAAATGAAAACCATACCCACACAAGATCAGCTTATTTAGGGCTTAACTGATCACTGACTATCACACACTATGGGAGTCTGATACAATGTAGGTGTTGGGGAAAATGAGACACTACATATTATAACAGAACTACCAAGGATGGTGGCTTAGTGGCAAGGAACCATGCTGCCAACCTAAATGCACGCAGTTCAAATCCACTAGCTGCTTCAAAGGAGAAAGATGCGCAATCTCCTTGTAATTACCCACCTCTGAAAACCTGCTGGAGGGTCAGCTATGAGTTGACTCTGACTTGACATATATAACAAGAACAAGGGATATTAAATAGTTTGCTTTTGCTTTAACTTGTCTTTTTAATATGAAGCAACTGTGACAAACTATCAACATTTTAAGGAAAATTGATGGCACAGTGGTAAAGCATTCAGTTACTAACTGAAAGGTCAGTAGTTTGAACCTATTAGCCACTCTATGGGAAAAAAGATGTGGTAATTGGCTTTCTTAAAGATGACAACTTTGGAAACCGTGTAAGAGCAGTTTTATTCTGTCCTTTAGGTCGCTATGACATTTGCGTCTCACATACTTTGTGCATGCTGGTAGGAAGGGCTATTCCTTGGAGGACATGATGGTGGGAAGGGTGGAGCATCAGTAAAGGAAAGGAAGGCCCTCGACCAAGTGGATTGACATGGTGACTGCTGCAGTGGGCTCTTGTGTGTCAGGAAGTGTGAGGATGACACAGGGTAGAAGAGGGTTCAGATCTTTTGTTCACAGGGTCACTACGAATTGTACTCAACTCGATGGCACCTGACAACAACATAGGTCGCTAAGAGCTGAAAATAACTCAACAGAAATTATATTAGCACATTACGCAGGGGCAGTGTTCTTCTGCCCTATAGGTCACTGTGAGTTGAAAATAACAGAAACAGGGTTAGCATATTACACAGTTCATGAGCCACCCGAGAGGTGCAGAGAAGAAGCCCTACCATCACTAAGAAAGAGCAATGATTTTGTAAATTATTACCTAACATGGGAGGGACTGGAGAGCACTATGCTAAAAGAACTAACTCAGTCTCATAAAGACAAATACTGTATAAGATCATTCTTACAGAACAAGTACAACGATCCAAGTACGGGGAGGGAGGAGCTTAATCATAGGGTCACACAATTTGATGGGTGGAGGGAGGGGTGGGTAAAGGAAAGGGGAAAGATCTGGTGTGAAAAAAAGGCATATGAAATTTGTAAATAAAGCGGTATAAAATAACCCCCAAAAAAAAGAACGAACAAAAAAGAAGAACCAAGGGTGCATGCGGCACATCCTTTTGGCCCAGGCTCCCTGCGCTGAGTGAGACCATTTTAGACAGGAAGAGCTGGGAAAAAAGTAGAGTTCAGACCTGAGTGGGACCAAGACTAAGGCATCTGAGAGGAACTGAGAGCTGTCCTGCACAGAAGGGAGATGTTTGTATACATGTTTCCCAATCCCGAGTTGTAGCCTATTGCTCTCCTAATTGTGACTTTTGTCTGTGAGTTCTGTGTGGCCACTGCAATGGATTAGCAAACCCATCAAAGAAGTACAGAGTGCTACAAGAGGAAGAGAGAAAGAGAAGGTGTATCTGACCTCTGCGTCAGGAATCAGCCCTGGATTTCTATAGAATCATAGAAATCCTCAGGGGAACCAGCAATTATTCCTGTTTTTCAGTTTAACTAAATTACTATATAAGTAACTAAATAATTTAAAGCCTTAAAAAATAAGATTGACCACTTAAACCAATTTATTTTCAATTTCTCAGCTATCTTTTGATCCTAGCTCTCAATGCCAAACCTTCCTATTCACAAAGATAATAGAAAGTGAGGGAGCTCTGGTGACTTAGTGGTCATGCACTGCAGTCTGAAAGGTGTGCGGTTTGAATGCCCCAGTTGTTCTGTGAGAGAAGTAAGGACAGTATCTTTTTGTGCAATGTACTACCTCTGAAAAGCCACTGGAGTGTCAGCTATGAATCAGTTCTGAGTTGATGGCACACAACAACAATAACAGAAACTGAGAGCCAAATAACTAATCAGAAAAAAGGTCTCAAGAAAAATAGCTATGACGTATCATCTCACCTCAGTAAGAATAGCAAAATTTAACAGAACAGCAAGCAACAAATACTGGTGAGGTTGTGGAGAAACTGGAACCCTTATTCACTGTTGGTGGGAATGTAAAATGGTCCAACCACTATAGAAGGCTGTATGGCACTTTCTCTAACAGTTGCAAATAGAAATACCATTTGACCCAGCAATTCCAGTACTGGGAATTTACCCTAAAGAAACCAGAACCGCCACCCAAGTAGATATATGCACAACCCACCCATGTCTGTCCTGGCTTTGTTAGCAATAGCAAAGAGCTGGAAACAACAAGTGTCCATCAACAAAAAGAATGGATAGAAAAGCTTTGGTATAGTCACACAATGGAAGACTATGCAGCACTAAAAACAAGGAAATCATGAAATATTATGCAAAATTGATGACCCTGGAGGACATTATGCTGAGTGATATAGCTCAGTCATAAAAGGACAAATATTATATAGGGCTACTGTTGTAAAAACGGGACTGACATCAGGGTTGAGGGGAAACAGAAAAGGAGGGGAGGAATGATGTATATTGCATTGAAACTGATGAGGGAGAGAGCTGTTTAAAAGGGACATATGAATGGTTATTCTTGTCATTACAGAAATTCAAGGTGAAGGCTGCATAATGGAGTGAACTTGGAGGGAGGGATTGCACAACAATGAGAGTTTTTCTTTCTTTTCAAGGAGAAGAGTGAATTTGCGGGGAGGGAGCAGGTAGGGAGAAAAGTGCAACAATGAATGCCTGGAAACCCTAAGTCTCTGTAAACTTTCATTAAAATTAATTTAAAATTTTTTTTAAAAAAAGGTCTCAAGAAGCAATTGTTATATTTTGAAACATCTGATTTTCTTCCCATTGCCTAGTCAATAGATCTATGGTGTTTTACCGCTCAGTTGCACAATTTGATTGGGTGGGTGGGGTGAAAGAAATGGGAAGGATCTTTTGTGAAAAACAGTGTAAAAAAAAAAGTTAAAGAAAGGCTTCAGGCCTTTTGTTCATAAGGTCACTATGAGTTGCTCGATTGACAGCAATCAACAACAACAACAACAACAACAGTAAAGGTTTGTGGGACAACGATGAGCAGACTCTCCTCCTGTATGATTTACTGCCTCTGAAAACCCGTGAGAGGGTCAGCTGTGAGTTGGTTCCAACCTGATGGTACATTAACAGTAATAATGAGTAATAATACTGAGGTGCCTGTTTCTCATAGTGACCCTATGAACAATAGCTCTAAACCGGACTCTATCTATCCTGAGCCAGTCTCACTGTCTCTAACACACCTACTCTGATGACCCCAATTACTGTGTCAATCAGTCTCATCCAGGATCTTCCTCTTCTGCACTGTCCCTCACCCTTCCAAGATGATGTCCTTGTCTAAGAATCTGTCCCTACTAGTGACGTGCCCAAAGTATGTGGACAGAGCTTCAAAATCCTTATCTTCAAGGAGCAGCTTGGTTTTAGCCTCTCTAAGATAGATTTATTTGTTTTCTTGGTAGTCCAGGGTATGCTAAATACTCTTCTCCAGCACCACAAGTCAAAGACATCAATTCTTCTGTCATTCTTAGTCATTGTCCAGATCTCTGATGCACAGCAAGTAATTGCAAAAACCATGGCCTGGATCAGGCACACTTTAGTCTCTAGACTGACATCATAGCTCTTTAGCACTTTGGAGAGGTCCCTGACAGCAGATTTTCCCAATGCAATTAATCTTTTGATTTACTGACTGCTGGTGCCAGAGTGTTAGTTGTGTAGCCAAGCAAGCTGAAATTGTTAACAACCTCAATCTCTTCTCCATCTCTCTATCATGGTGCTGACAACTGCTGCCAGTGGTGAGAATCTTTGTCTTCTTAATGTTGAGTTTCAATCTTTATTGAAGACTACAGTTCTTGACCTTCTGCAGCAAATGCTTCAGGTCCTTCTCAGTTTCAGCAAGTAAGGTTATGGCATCTGCCCATTACAGACTGTTGTTGAGTCTTCCTCCAATCCTGATGCCACATTCCTCCTCATAAAGTGCAGTCTCCCAAATGATCTGTTCTGCATACAGATTGAAAAGGTATGGAGACAGGAGGCATCCCCAATGCACTCCTTTCCTGATTTTGAACCATGAACTGTTTCAATATAGGTTTATACAAAAAGCAAACCTACTGCCATGGAGTTAATTTCAACTCATGGTGACTCTCTATTGGGTTTTCAAGGTGCTGAATATGAGAGACTGCCTCAGAGCAGCTGATGGGTTAACTGCCTTCCCATGGGTCAGCATTGCAAAATAGAACCCACCACATTACCAGAACTTTAACCTTTATGTGCCTATGTCAAGTATGACTCAAAGCAACTCTGTGAAAAACAGATGTGAAATTCATCCAGTCCTGCACCATACTCATCATCTCGGACACAAATGAGCCCATTGCTTCAGTCACTGTCAATCCACTTCATTGAGGGTCTTCCTCTTTTGCTGACCCTCCACTTTTCCAAGGTCCCTTTTTAAGGAATAAACCCTCCTAACAATATGCCCCAAATAAGTGAGACTTATCATTGCCCTCCTTGCTTCTAAGGAACAATCTGGCTGTACCTTTTCCAAGACACATATTTTTTAAGAAAACACCAAAACCCCAAACCATAGCAATAGCATTATATAGCTGTCACAGTACTATACCGTCATCTATAGTTCCAACTTTGGTGTCTCTTTTCTTAGTCTTCTTTTTTGCAGCTTTTTGAAAAGGTGCAAATTCTACTATAGCAGGATATTCTTGACCTATTTAGGAAATAAAAAACCCAAAACAAAACTTGTTATAATAACAAAACAAAACCAACAACCCCACAACATGCCATAAAAATTGCTATAACGAAATGAAAAGGTCAACTGACTGTTCTCTGGGCCTCCTTTGAGGGCAGTCATCTGAAGAGGTTCCTCCAAAGAACATAAACAACACTAGTACAACTATATTTCACACACTGTTTGTTTCATATGGAGCCCCAAGATCACACTGATAACATGAGAAGACCAAGAAAAGTAGGAAAATATTTATTGACTCAAGTCCTAGAATGTGGTATTTTGATGTGTAAAATAGATTATATACTACTTTTATCTTTAAAACATATCAGAAATGTGCACCAATGAATGAATGGAAATCCAAAATCTTTGTAAATGTTCATTAAAATTAATAAAATAAAATTTTAAAAAATATCAGAAATGTACATAAGAGGTAGAAAATAGATTAGCAGTTGGCTACCAATGGAGTTGGTAGTGGGGTGAGAACAGAATGGGAGCTAATGGGAATGGGGTTTGTTTTGGGAGTGATGAATATTTTCTAAAATTAGGTTGTAGTGATGGCTGTATAATTTCGGTGTGCATACTTAAAGCTATTGAACTGTATAGTCTGAAAGGGTGAATTTTATGGTATGTGAATTATATTTCAATATAGGTATAAGAAACACACACCAAACAACACACCAGAACCCACGCCATTAAAAAAAAAAATCATACAAGGGATGCAACAATGAATGTATGGAAATCCAAAAGCTCTGTAAACATACATTAAAATTAATTTAAAAATATCATACAAGGTATAAAATACTGTCTTTAGATCATTGGAATCATATAACTAGAAATTGTTAGAAGATACACAATTTAGTCATGGAGAAAACATGATTTAGGAAAAACTAGTGAAACCTAGTGAATGTTGAATTAGATTAGCTGAGCAACTGTGGTGTACTCCCTAAGAAAGAATCGATAAACCAAGCCAAAGAAGAAATTGTGAAAAGACAGGCTGGGAAAACAGAAGAAGGGTCAGACTGTGGAGGACTCTAAAATAAGGTTGAACTTTTTTTTCATTAGTGTTCTCTTAAAGTCAGTATTTCTCAAAAGAATAATTTATGACAAGATACTAGAATGAACTACAACACAAATGGAAAATCAACAACTTTAAATGTAGTGACTGTCTAAGCATTAGGAAATAAAGACATAAACTATGAATAAGACATTGAAAAATGATAAACTGGTAAGATTCATCACTTCTTTTAAAGAGTTAAAAGGGGAGAAGAAAGTTAAACTTAACTCGGATTCCCAGGCTAAGCAATTAGGAAACTAATGCAATCTACTAGAATATAAAAGGTGGAGTGCACAAGTACTTGGTTTGTATAGTTGTGTACTGTTGAGTTAGAACCAACCCGCAGCTGGCCCTCCACTGACGGGTTTTCAGAGGCAGTTAATCACATGAAAGGAGACTGCTTGTCCCATTGGTCTCCCAAGAGAGCAGCTGGTGGATTCGAACCATGTGCCTTCATGTTTTGAGCCTTCGAGATTGCAGCCTCTTACCACTAGGCCACCAGAGCTCCCTTGGTTTATAAATGTTGACCAATGTTTGAAAAACAATGTATACGAACTTTGTAAATAAACCAGTGGATAAGAAACATTTTATAAAGAAAAAAAAAGCAGGCAATATAAAGTTGTAATTCTTTAACTGGTATATTTCCTGACAAAGATTTAATTTGTATTGTCTTTGAAGTAATACTAAAAAAAAAAAAGAAAATGGCACACTATTTACATGCATATAAAAAAAATGGCAGCTTCGATACTATCAGACTAAATTTTGCACAGATCTCATACTCATTGCTGCTGAATCGGAACCAACCCATAGTGGACCTTCAAATAGATTTTTGGGAGGTTGTAAATCACAAGGGAGGAGAATGCATATCTCCCTCCCATACATCAAATAGCAAATAAAAAAAAAAAACCAGGCAGAAATTGTTCTTTCCTATAGACTTAATCCTCCTAAATATAAAGGGGGAGATCATCATGTTACTTGTTTTAATTACATACAATGTAACCAATACTCCACTGGGAACTATTGGCTTAAAAGACTTGAATATTTTCAGATGTTGCTTCTTAAAGAAAGAATATGGAAAACTTGTTGAAAGAGTCATTAACAATGTTGCTGCTGATTGTAAAATCAAAACAATACTATCTAATCCAGGGTAAAAAAAATGTTCACATGAAATAAGTGGCAATTTCATCAGTTGATCACACCACAGAAAGAACAGGTTAATAGTAGAGGGCTGTGACAACTTACCTATCTCCAACACTGCACTAAGCATGTGTAAAAACTTTCTAACTGTTGCACATTTATCACTCAAGAGTTTTGAAAATGCTATGAATCAATAGGCTGTGATGCACACATTGTCTTAAAACATATAAATGGTAAAGAAACTCCCCTTCTAGTTCAATTACAAGGACTCACCTTTATTATCAAGGAATACATAACCATCAAAGCGATCCCTGAACAAAATAATGTCCTCTTGGTTTTTAAAGTTGATGTATGCCCTGGCATACATATGAGGATACAGACTGCAGAGAGGAAAGCAATTAATGTAAATATGCTTGTGAGAGTCAGGCTGAATTAAGAGTATGCATATATTAAATAGGCTTAAAATAAAATGGAAAATATTAGTAGGGTGCAAAAGAATAGAAGAAATAGATAGGTATGTATATTTATTTTTTATTTACCCTCCACCCCCACCCCCCGTTTTTTCTTTTACCTAGTATCATTAGAAAAAAATTCAAAATAGTCATGTTCAGGCAGAGGCTGAAGATGTTCCAGAAGCTGCTCCTTGGTCAAAGTGGGAGGTAATCTTCGAATTACCACCTTAAGAAATGAACCAGGAAAGTAAAATTACTAGAAATCAATTTCCTGTTGGGCCTGAAGGGTCACAGTTCCCGAAGCAGGCTAGGGTTTTTCGTTTGTTTAAAAAAAGATGGCATTGCTTCAAAAAACTCGAGAGGAAAATCTTCAGTGATTGCAACGAGACAACCCGAAGACGAATGTGTAGCTTTCTCCAACTTAACCAAACCAGAGCCATCTGGATTTAGGACAACCTCAGATTCTGCTCCCAGCCTTGCAGCCCCGCCATTGGTTCCGTTTGCATCGCACTTTTTAGCACACAGTTTACAACCGCCACTAGTGTTAAGAAATCAGTCAGGCCAGCTCTGGTCTCTTAGGGGTGCCACAAACTCTTGATTTATTAATCTTTCTCCCACACCCATCCTGAAACCAAACCCTTCCTCACTCAGTTTAACGAATTCAAAACTCTCAAAAGTGCAAGGGCGTTTTTTTTTCCACCATGACTCCCCAAAATAGGATGCTCCCGATCCGATCCCCCCTACCTACAAAGATCACTAATCTCTCCTACGCGCTCCCCACAACGCGCCTCCATTAATACTATCTGTGCAAACTACTCGCGCCTCTGAGGTCCCCTTCACGACTTACTAATTCTCCCCCCAAATACAACTTTATTCTCTCCTCTCTTCGCTGCTGCTACTCTCCTCATGACCATCTCAGTGCTCGGACCCTGAGTGTCCAGAGAGCGCCCCTCCCCACACTATCAGCCCGGTGCTTGCTGGGCGGGGTCCCCCCCATATAGGTTAGTGGATGAGTCAGGGCGGCAGAAATTTCATTCAGGCAAAGAGACAGAGGGGAGACTGGGAAGGCAGCCCGATCGCCGACCATCCTCTATGGGCGGCGGAACTGTCCCACCCGGCCAGCACCTTGCTCAGCGCCTCTTTCTTCTCCTTGTTGCGATCCTGTTTATCTTCCCCCTTGTTACTGTCCCCCGAAGCTCCGCTGCTGCTGCATGTAGCCCCCTGAGGCGTAAGCAAGGTTACTCGCTTCTCCTTGGGCCTATGTTCCTTCTCCTCCTTCATGGCCACAGGAGCTTTCCCTCAGCCGCCGCTGGGGCCTAAGCGCCGCTACGACGGTCTTGGGCGAAGCCCGCCCAGCTCGCTCGAAGCTCCGCCCCCAACAAGTGCTCCTAGAGACAAGCCCGGCCACGCGTTCGATTGGTCTGCATCAGAATCTCGCGACACTTCGGAGCGCCCAACTTTCCTTGTTTCTCAGATTCTGACACCTGGTCGTTACTTTCTGATCACACTTACGGTGTCACCGCGTCCTCAAGCCCGCAGTGGCCGGGCATCCCTCGGGGCCTGCTCCTTGCCTATCACAGTGTTAGCTCTCCCGCCATTTTGAAAAGAACAACTCTTTCTGGGACTACAAATCCCGAAATACAATACAAATATTCGCTGCGTTGGCTAGCCATGATAGGAGGCATCCATCACTCAAGGTCCCTGTTAGTCATTCAATTGAACACACACTCCTCTAATCTTGAAAGTGCAGTTTTTTAGATCAAATAAAAGGTTCTGCAGGCTATATTTCCTTTTGTTTTCCTTAGATAAAAGCAGTGTTCTTGAGTTTCACCTCATCAGGGGAAAACTTTTATTTTTTTCTACAGTTGATTGTAAATTGTACTTCGAGAAGTTTTAGAACTTTTGTAGTCCTTAGAGTTACTGATAGCTCAATAGACTGCCCACCTCTTAGGGTTCGAATCCACTAGCCGCCGAGAAGGGTCAAAGATCTCTTCCCTTGCCATCAAATTATCTGAAATCCAGTGGATGGTCACTTAAGAGTAGGTTTCAGGGAGCCTTCTGGGAGCGTGGTCCAGGCATTCGCGTGTCTCCCGCTGTCGACACTCCCGGGTGGGAAAGCAGACAAGAAGGCCGCGGCCGGTGAGGACAAGTAAGAGCACTGTCTTCGTGCCAAGATATCCATCGGTGTGCCAATCAAGGTCCTGCATGAGGCCGAGGGCCACATTGTGACGTGTGAGACAAACACAGGCGAGGTGTACTGGGGGAAGCTCATAGAGGTAGAGGACAACATGAACTGCCAGATGTCCAACATCACAGTTACCTATAGAGACGGCCGAGTGGCACAGCTGGAGCAGGTGTACCTGCGTGGCAGCAAGATCCGCTTCCTGATACTTCCGGACATGCTGAAAAACGCGCCCATGTTAAAGAGCATGAAGAATAAAAACCAGGGATCCGGGGCTGGTGGGGGAAAGCTGCGATCCTGAAGGCCCAAGTGGCTGCAAGAGGAAGAGGACATGGAATGGGACGTGGAAACATCTTCCAGAAGTGAAGATAATGTATCTGTTGAACAGAACTTTGCCCTGGTTTTGTCTTTTAGGTTAGTTAGCTGGGTAGAAGGGACAGGGGGCTGATTGCTTACTACATTTATGGCCTACGAGTTCTTCTGTCGTCTTTCTCATTAAATCTGTGATTTTTTTTTAAAAAAGAGTAGGTTCCAACAACTAATAGAGCTTAGGCTAGTATAGGCTAAATTGTTTTTTTTTTATGTGCCATCTAGTCGCTTGAGACCCCCTGTACAACAGCCCTAAAGCCTGCTCTAACACTTGCCAATCTTATTGTCTCCGACACACCCACCCTCAATCCCCCAATGACTGAATCAATTCATCTCATTGAGGGTCTTCCCTTCCTGCGCTGTCCCTCCACCCTCCAAAGCATGACATCCTTCTCCAAGGACTGTTCCCTCCTTGCAACATGTCCAAGTATGTCAGACGAAGCCTCAGAATCCTTGCCTCCAAGGAGCATCCTGGTTTAACCCAATCTGGGATGAACCTGTTCGTTCTCGTAGCTGTCCATGGTACATTCAATACTCTTCTCCAGCACCACAGCTCAAAGGCATCAATTCTCCTTCTATCCTCCCTAGTCATTGTCCAACTCTCTGA